TTTTTAATATTTTGAAATGTTTTTGAGCTTATACTTTTTAGTTTTCAAAAACACGATTTAAACGCTTATTAAAACGTAGCCATATCACCTCAATACTTTAGATAAGAAAAAAAATCCACCCTATTGATAAAATATAATGATTAAGTTGTATCATTGTTATTTTAGTGAATTTCCCAGACATACATACATAAGCACTTGAGACTTAATTGAAATTGACATCTTTACTATCTCTTTAAGTTTCAAGTAAATGCTTTCATGAAAACGTCCTTAGTTATGTTTATAGATAATTCATTACAATTATGATATTTTGACAAAGAAATTTTTTCTTGATATTGAAGGATATGCTTAAAACTTTACTGGATAGTGGATGAGGTGATTCACATGTGACCCTGAAGTCACTAGGATGACTGTCAGATTACGTTTATTGATAAAATTTTCTAGTTATTAATTGGTTCAAGTACTTTCTAATGGAGCACATTACTATGTGCAGGGAGTAAGCATGTATAAGTGCTTAAGCACGTAAATAACGTGTCTCGTTAAGTATTTTCACGCGGAATAAGCATATACAATTTTATAACATTTTATTAATAAAAAAAAATATTTTTCTTAAATTGCAATTTACATACTTGACAAATTACGCCCTACTATTTTGTGGACTTGGTGAAATGCTTCAAAAAATGAAAAAAAAACAACGAGAAAATCGGTAGATCGGTTTTATCAAATACACCGATACGCGGTCATCCTTGGCTGCTCCACCATCACTTGACCGCCGCGTACGAAATACATGATACCCCTAAAATGAAATTGACGCAAGCCCCAAAAACGCACCATCCCTGTGTACTCCCCAAAATGGGGTGTACCGCAGCCGATTCACCTCACCGATTGTCCGCAGAATGGCAGCACGGCTCTCATTCTCGCGGCAAGCAGGGGAAAAATCCACTTTGTCCGCGAGCTCATCAACCACAACGCGGACGTTAACGCCGAGGACTCGGTTAGTATATATTTCTCCCCCGATGAACCCGCTAAACCCTCATCAATAATCGACACGTCATCATGTATATATACATACACATTTGCCACAGGACAATTGGACGGCGCTGTTGTTCGCGGCCAAGGAGGGCTACGACGACGTATGCGTTGAGCTGCTCGAGCACCACGCTAATCTCGAGCACCACGACGCGGTAAGGGTCTTGATTTAATTTAAAAAATCATATACAAGTATACAAGCGATATCGGCAATGATGGTTGATACGGGCCATTTGAAAATTACTTAGGGTGGGTGGACGGCGCTCATGTGGGCGACGTACAAGGGCAGAGTGTCGACGGTGACGGTGCTGTTGTCGCGGGGCGCGGACGTCAACGCCCACGGCAACTACCACATATCCTCGCTACTGTGGGCGGCCGGTCGGGGCTACTCCGAAATAGTCAAGGAACTGCTCAAGTACGGCGCCAAGGTCAATGTTGGTGACAAGGTGAGTGGGAGTAACGACTCGCGATGAGCTCCTAGTGAAGGGTCGAGTGTGTGTATATAATTTGGGGGGGGGGGGATGATAGGACCGAGTTGATCGACGATATGTGTGTTTTAGTATGGCACGACAGCCCTCGTGTGGGCCGCTCGAAAGGGCAACATTGAGATCGTCAACGCGCTGTTAAAAGCCGGTGCTACCGTCGACACCGCGGGCATGGTGAGTTAGTCCACTGCAGGTCATAGAAAGACTTTATTGTTACTATTATTCGAGTCTGAACAAAACACAAAACAATTGTATTTCGTTTGAAATTAAATTTTCTCCCCTCCCCCTTGAAAAAAAAAAATCAGTACTCGTGGACGCCATTGCTCGTTGCGGCTCTGGGGAACCACGTGGAGGTGGTGCTGTTGCTCCTCGAGTACAAGCCGAACGTCAACGCGGTGGACAAGGATGGCTGTACCGCCCTGGCGATAGCTTGTCGCGAGGGTTACCACGAGATCGCTAATGCCTTGCTAAACGCCGGGGCGTATATCAACATTCAGGACAAGTCCGGCGACACGAACCTCATACACGCGGTCAAGGGCAACCACAGAGGCGTCGTTGAGTCGTTGCTCAAGAAGTACGCGGACGTTGACATTCCTGGCAAGGTAGGGTGATTAATTGTTGCCCAAGGTTTTTTTTTTTTTTTTTTTTTCGGACAACAAAATAGTTTTTTCTTCCTTTTTTGCTTACTGATGGGTTTTTCGGACAAAAACATCATTTTGCTCCTTTATAGAGGAAGCTATGTATCGGTAAAAAATTGGCTGTGTGCTTTTAAATTTTAGTTCCCTATAACTAAACTGAAAGTTTTTATTACGGTTATTTGTTTTTAAACCCAGCCTGAAGTTGAATCGTTTATATTGTTTGACTAATTAAGTTTTTGGTTTCAACTTCATACCTGGTTAAATAAACGCTCGTTTGGCCAAAAAGTGCCATTTTTCGTCTGGGGTGTAATCTCTGCAATTATTGTGCAATAATTCATATACCTGATGGAAATTGCAATTGTTAAACCAGCGTATATAGCTTTTCTCGATGAGGAAAAAACATGCGCACCATAATATTGCCCACACGGATTAGCGCGTGACATATAATCATACGCACGTGAACATGTCCCATGCAGGACCGAAAAACAGCGACGTACATAGCAGTGGAAAAGGGGTACACGACGATCCTGCGCCTACTGCTCGCCGCGAACCCGGACCTCGAGATAGCGACCCGGGACGGGGACACGCCGTTGTTGCGCGCCGTGCGCTCGCGCAACGCCGAGATCGTGCAGCTGTTGCTCGACCGCAAGGCCAAGGTGTCGGCGAGCGACAAGAAAGGCGACACGGTGCTGCACGTGGCGATGCGCGCAAGGTCGAAAGCCATCGTCGAGATCCTACTCAGGAATCCCAAGAACAGCCAGCTGCTCTACAGGCCGAACAAGCAGGGCGAGACGCCATACAACATCGACATGAACCACCCCAAGGCCATTCTCGGCCAGATATTCGGGGCTCGTGCGTGCTGTTTCCTTTTTCTTTTTTTTTTTTTCATCATTTTGTTTTTTTGTTTTTAGGGAGTCATTGACAAAAAAATATGCTTTTGTCGCAGGTCGGTTGAACACCAACGAGGACAACGAGAACATGCTCGGCTACGATCTGTACAGTAGCGCGCTGGCCGACATACTGAGCGAGCCGTCGCTCTCGACGCCGATAACCGTGGGCCTTTACGCCAAGTGGGGCTCGGGAAAGTCATTTTTGCTAAACAAACTCAGAGGTGAGTTAACCCCCCCCCCCTCTTTCAAACTCAACCGGCTCACCGGGGCTGTATACTTTTCAGAGGAAATGAAGAACTTTGCTCGCCAGTGGCTGGACCCGACTTTCAAATTTTCCTCCCTTTTGTTTCTCATCGTGGCGCACGTCTCGTTATTGCTTGGCGTGACCGTAGGCCTCGCGTGCAAGTCTTGGCTAACGGGCCTCGTTTCCGGGGCCAGTCTGGTCGTTGCCGTTTACGTTTTCCTCGTTGCGATCTGGTACGCCAACAAATGGTAAGCAGAATAATCGAGCTCCGCGCTCGTGGACCGTAAATCACGAGCTTCTTCCTCTTCTTCACATTTCTTTTTTTTTTTTTTTTCCTTTGAAATTCATTCGCTTCGATTAGAATCATAGTTGGGCATGACACACGTATACCCCTTTGATTTTAAATCGATTCTTTAATCAAGCAAAAAAAAAAAAAAAAAAAAAAACTCTTGGCATCTGCTTTCGTATGAAACATGTTGGGTAGTTTTTCCGACGACAGTCACAAAAACTACCAAGCTCGCAGTTGTGATAAAACAAGGTCTCAACTGCTGTGGTTGTGCTTCGAAACAGGTACGATTGGAACTGGCCCTACAAGTTCACGGTGGTGCTGACGACGAAGCTAAACTCCTTGAGGCTGTTGCTGCAGGTGACCTTTTGCCATCCGCAGTGCAGCCAAATGCAAAACAGCGTCAACGTCCAGCCGATAAAGTTCTACTTTACTGATCAGACGCGCGTGGGCACGACAACGGCCGGGGAAAACGCCGTGGTCCAGATGGTCGGCTCGCTGTACGACTCCATCGAGGCCGAGTTTGGCTCCCTACCGACTCGCCTCTACAGAGCCTTCAGGCCCAAGCCCCTCAAGACCACGGCCTCCTGGAGGTGGAGGCACCTCTGCTGTCTGCCCTACGTCGCCATATTCGAGTTCTGCTTCTGCAGCTTTCTCGTTGCCGTTTCCATACTCACCATTTACCTCATGGGCTCCATCAACGAGGAGAAGTAAGTGTGCAAACGCGACAAAAGTAAAAAAGGCTCCACACACATTATGTATACGGAGGGATAAATTTTTCATTGCTTTTTCAAGGCGAGCCATCGACACCGTCACGGCGTCCATACTCGGTGGTATCGGCTTACTGTTGGGTGTCAGTGTCATCGCCAACTTGTACACGTGGAGCCGAACCATAAACTCGCTCATTTTCTCCCAACGCAGACAGCTCAGGCGAAAAATCGCCAGGCTGGAGACGCTTAAGAGCGAGGGTTTTTTGCAGACTCTCCGAAGCGAAGTCAATCTTATGACGGATATGGTAACACGATACGATTCGATTGATATACCTTTTTGGTGGTGGTGGTGGTGGTGGTGGTACCCACATGTATAATCGATTGGTTTTCATTGTTTTTGTTCTTGGAACAGGTCAAGTGCCTAGATAGTTTTACAAGTCAAAAAAGTAGGTTAGTAGTAATTGTTGACGGTCTTGACAGCTGCGAGCAAGACAAAGTTTTACTGGTGCTCGACGCCATTCAAGCCTTATTCAGCGACAACGGGTGCCCTTTTGTCGTCATATTAGCCATCGATCCTCACATAATATCCAAGGTGGGTCACGGTGCGCACATATCTATAAAAATTATTGTTGCTCAAAACGTGAAAAATTAATCATTTCGCGACACAAAGGCCGTCGAAGTGAACAGCCGGCGGTTGTTTACCGAGTCCAACATCGGCGGTCACGATTACCTGCGCAACATGGTCCATTTGCCGTTTTACTTGCAAAACAGTGGCCTCCGCAAAGTCAAGATAGCCCAGCAAACGGCGCTGTACAGCAAGAAAACCGACTGGAACGAGGCCGAGGAGGGAGTGAACTACGCAACGACGAATCCCCTGCAGCGATCGGTTTCCAACAGACGCTTGAGCACCGAGTCCGGCGTCATGATGACCAGCAACGAGAAGCTCAAGCCGCCCACTCGTAAGGGCAGCAGAAAGATGAGGCTCAGCGAATCCATCGCCAGCAGTATAGGCAGCAATTTAAATAGGCTAGGCGGTGCTCAGGATTTGAACAAGATGCTGCTCACGGACGATTACTTCAGTGACGTCAATCCACGCAGTATGCGCCGATTGATGAACGTGGTTTATGTTACCGGTTGGTTCGATCACTCGAGTTTAGATCCATGCACATGGACGTTTAGAATCACTGTTGTGATAATATTACGACTCTTCTTTTTCTTGACAGGGAGGTTGCTGAAAGCATTCCAAATCGACTTTAATTGGTATCACTTGGCTAGTTGGATCAATATTACGGAGCAATGGCCTTTCAGAACATCGTGGATGATTTTGTACTTTGACACTTGCGAAGATAATCTCGACGATTCCATGTCTTTGAAAAGCCTTTACGACAAGTAAGATGCCTTGTTTGATCGAGGACTCGTTGTGGGGATGAAAAAAAATTTACCCCTCGAATTTTATTACAGAGTACGTCCTCAAATTCCAATCTTCAAAGACGTTCAGCCTTTACTCGAGATAGATCGCGATGAGCGTAAGCTCGACGTCTTTCTTACTTTCCACCGCTCGAGTCTTCATGTCAGCGACATGAAAATATTCTTGCCTTTCACAATTAATCTCGATCCTTACATCAAAAAGAAGATCAAGGAAGAACAGCAGACCATGGACGAGGAGTCGAACGTGTACAAGTGGAACGCCGGCGGTGGTCCTGTAGCAACTGCCGATCCCAGCTGGTCGGTGAGCCGAGTTAACAACAAGACACCGAGGGTGGCGAGGCCAATTGTTGATTCAACGCCGATGTTGATGCCGACGACACCGCAGTCCAGACCACCGGCCATGTGGCCCAGACCAGGTTACGAGTGGCAGATGCCGCAACAGTGGCCGTTACCACCCCCGATGGAGCCCTTACACCACAAGCCCTTGTCGGCAGTCTCGACGTTTCCCGTGAGTAAACAAGTTATTGGCAAATTTTTCCGGTGAAACGACCCAGTTTCCTTATGATTACTCGTTTGATGAAATTTGCAGCCGGAAATCTTGGACATCAAATTGTCTTCCCTGAGCGTTGACGGATTGTGCGAGTTACTGGATAAGATTCAAGACATCAATCAAAATCAAACGTCAAACTACAAGGCTATCATCAAGGAAAACAATATATCTGGTAGAGTTCTGCTTCACTGTGACTTACAGGAACTGAAGAGCGTTAGTATAAAATATTGATTTTCTTTCATTTAATTTACTTTTTGCTATTGATACAATCAAACATGAAAATATCATTGTATAGGTGTTGAAAATGTCGTTTGGAGATTGGGAAATGTTTCGTATGGTTGTTGTCTCCTTGAGAGAACAGGAGTTGACGTGTCTGATGATGCAAGATGAAGGGACTCGAAGTGTCAGATTTATTGTCGGTCCCGATGAAAACATTCGTAAAGGTAAATAACCCTGTACCATTTTGTCATACTTGTTTGAAGATTATGTGTATACATGGTTTTTTCCAACTACCGCAGTTGAACACACCAATCAAAGTACTTCCATAAGAGTTCCTGTAATCGTTGAAAAAGACAAAGGTCTATCCAGAACAGATGGGCCCACGAGACGTGATCAAACGAAACAGTCCATCATGGAAAAACAGGTGAGCTCATTTTTTTTCAAACGAATTAACCTATATAAAATAATAGGTAATTTTTTAAGATTTTTATGAATTGAAAATATTTGTCAAGTCCTGTGTCACAAACCTAAAATCACATAAATACCTTTTTTTTAAACTTTATTCCATTGTTCGTTTTTATACAAACTATGCAAACCTATGGAAACTAATCAATTATTTCACTGACTACACAATATATTTATCTCACGCCTGCACGGATCTCAAAAAATAAAAATCCACGAAATGACAGCTTCAGGTAAGAGCTTTGGTACATCTCAATGTCGTCATTTAGACTCGGTGTACCAATAATTCCGTACAAACCGTGTAGTGTCTCTACAAGAGCATACACCATGTTACACCAAATTCACTGCCGGCACACACACTGTCAACTCCCTAAATACGTTTTAGGTAACACTGGAGGAGCAAATGATCTGCGGCGCGCTGCAGACCTTAAACGAGGAGGCGTGTGAGGACGTGTTGGACGTGCCGGTTTCGCCGGCCGGTCTCGCGCCTACGGACTTACTGCCCGGCGCAGGTGAGCCCAACAACTGTACTCTTCCGCTTAACCTGCCCTTGGTCATAGTCCAAGAGCCTCCACCGCAGTCCGACCAAAGCCCTGACACCGTTATCGAGAACGCCACGAATCTTTAGCTCTGTGCGCTCGCGCCTGTTAATAAGTACATAACCAAAAAACAATAAATTATGTATCCGTATCTTTATCGGGTCACGAACGTTTTCGTTTGTCGCCGTTGTTATTTTTGTTTGTTGTTATGATTATTATTTTATCATACCCTCAAGTGCGCCAATAATATTTGCAAATGTGATTTTCGATGCATTTGTTTCGGCAAATGTGTCGTTTACGATTTGTTGTTTTTCAATGTCGCGTGTGATTTTCGATGGTTTTTTTTTATAAATAAAAAATTTTGTACTTAATATTTCTCATATAATTTATTACAGTGATTCAGTAATTTTTTTAAATTGACTTTTCGTGTGGACATTTGTGTATACGAGACAAGAATGTTATTGTATACATACACCAATTTTTTTACTATAATAATTGGAATATATCCATACTAGTGCAAATATCTTAATGATTATGTAATGCGATCATATTGGTTGAAATAAGAATCAAAGACTGAAGTTGAGATTTTTAAAAGTATGTGTATGCATGGGGATCCGACATGAAATAATTTTGTAAGTATTTTTTTAATAAAGCCATAGTTTGTTAAAATCTATGTAGAAAATTACGATGGATGTATTTCCAACAAAAGTAGAGCTGATGGTCTATATGTTATGGTGATCTTCAAGAGAATTGCAAGACCCTGTCATCCACCTTTTGAACGCTTTATCGATCTAAAGGTATATGTATAGTCATAGATCGCAAGCATATTCTCAATTATCCATGTATCTATTTTATACTCAGACTTTGATCAACGTGGTGGAACAGTATGTGATCACTCTTGAGAATCTCCGATAACCCAATAACTTCCTATGTAAAAAACTATTGATAATCACATGTGTACTTTGCATTTAATATTACTGCCATCCTTGTTGATTCTGGTACGTACGTAGCATTGACGTTTAGATCATTTTTACGTACGACATATTATTAATGCCTGGGATGAATATTAATTTTTTTTTATAGAGCTTAAATAATAGACAGCATTGTGTGTATAATAAGAATACATAGACGTGCCTGCGCTGTTTAAAGTTGTTCACTTTGTACAAAAACTATAAATAAGAGAAAAGAGACATTTTTGTTACAAATGAAGAAAAAATATTGTTCCTTTTGTGTGTAAAAATTTTCGTGCACGTAATATGTGTATGAAAATAATAATAATAAAAATAATAATAATAATAATAATAAAAAAGGAATCGAATGTGTGCGTTTATGGTTGTGATGAAAACTTATGCGATATGCGAGTCGATTCTCGTTGGTAATTCAAGTACCTTAACAAACAGTACAAGGTTGTTGAGAGAAGCATGCATTTTAAAGAAACTGTGATAAAAGAAAACAAGCAAGGTATAGGAGTCTAAAAGTGTTTGTCAAATAAGGCCAGCGACTCGTTCCTCTTAGGTACTGATCTCAGCACTGCTGAAATGAAAAAAAAAAAAAAATGGCTATTACACTATAGTGATGAATAATTTTTGATGATATTTTGCATGTTGAATGTTGCAACTTTTTTTTTTTTATTGTCACAGCTTCGAAATTGTTGAAGAAAACGTAATTTCCTAACAATACTGCAGCAATGAAGAGTGTATTTACGACAAGTGCATTTTGTAATGTCAATACGCGAGTGTGTATTATATACACCGGCGCTGATATGAACATAAAGTATTATATTATAAATATATGATGATACATGGCAATAAAGCATTGATTTAAACAAACATCAAAGGCTAGCATGAGTTTCTTACTCTGTTTTTATGTAAATATTTTGAGCATTCGCCAAGTGTCGGCTTGACGTTTTGGCTATTTCAGTGACGCGAGACGGATGTCAGGGCAGGTCTCGAAGGCAATGGACTTTTAGTGTAATTGGTGGTGTGACAGAGAGAAAAAATTCCGAAACCTGTAGAAGTCCTATTTTTATATCCACTTCTAACAGTGCAACTGTTTCCAACATTCCAATTTGTCTCTTTTGATTAGTTAGTGCCTTGCATTGTTTTTTTAACACTAACAGTTCACACAAGCCACTAATTCGTTTGTTTGTAATACATCTAATTACTAGTGCTTAAAAATTTTTGTCAACCAATAAATTAATGACAAGTAGAAATCAATAATAGCTGGTATCGTAGTTTTGGTCTTGTACAAAAGATCAGTTGTGATTAAAATTTACTAAATATTGCATCCTATACTCACCAACTCCGCTAAAACCGGAAAAACCAACTCTATTTACAAAAATCTTTTTTTTTTTTTTTTTTTTTTTGACAACAGTTACTGTAGAATAAAATTTCACGCGGAATTCCACGTTCAAATGTATGGCATAACTTATTTACATTCATTGTATAATATATTTTAGGCACTCGTGTGCTGCCCTATAAAAAAATCTAGGTGCACTTTAACTTGCCAATCCACGTAGATTTCCATAGGTAAAATCTACTTAGATATTTTTCACAGGGCTTGGAGTAAATTTTGTTTGGACCCACGTAATTTTCAGCTAACCACTGCAAAAAAGAATTGTTCAAATACCCTGATCGTGCTCAATATTATTACTGAACTCTATATTCACTTGTTACATAAACTTTTGCACAAAAAAAAAGTATGTAGTACACTGTATACACTGATGTGCATGAAAGAGGCTTTACCTATGTGATGCAAGATCCTTAACTGCATGCTCTTCCAAGTACCCTTGGGGAAAAAAAAAAAAAAATGCATGCTCGCATGACTGTAAAGCAACGTGCTTTCAGGTGAGCGCGGAGGTCCACGTTCGCGAGCATCGAGCGTCTGTCAAGACACGGACTACGTGATCCTGCAGTCCAACCCGCTGATGCACTGGATCCCGGTGCCGGACGACCAGCTCGAGGAGGACGACGGCAGCACGAGCACCGACTCATCCCTGACCTCGGCTCACATACCCGCTGCCGTGACCGCCGCAGCTGCTATGAAGCGCGCCAACTCCCAGCGGAGCATCAGCTCCCGTTGCAGCGTCGTCTCGAGCTGCTCCACCAGCAACCACTACCGCACGCCGCCCAACAGCACCTCCCACCAGCAGGACAGGCAAACCACCCGGCGCCAACAACAGCAGGCTCTGGTGATATCACCCCCGGCGTCACCCCGACCGGCACTACGGTCAAAGTCGAGCGACGACGAGGACGGGGCTGCAGGTGCCCAGAGACGGGGTGGCCCGAGAACCGCGCGTCGCTCGACCTCTTCCCTCGTCGAGGAGATCAGCATCCCGGTACCGAAGGTTCAGAGTAGCGGCAGCCTCGGCAAACTCAGCCGGCTCAAGGACCGCTTCCTGGGCAGTGCCAAATCCATGGTGACAACGACCACGACCCAACAACAACAGCAGGGTTCTTCCGAGCAGTTACCGGCCGGCGAGCCGAGCGAGGACGGGGAGTCGACGCCGCTGGTGTCGGAGCTGTCGAGCCCGAGCAGCCCGAACCACTCGGTGACCGGGGCCACCAGTCCCGAGGGTAGCAGCGACTCGCCGGACTCTGGCTCGGTATTCCGGGGCCAGCAGCAGCACCATCACCACAGGCCCGGCACCGGTTACTCGTCCGGTAGTCTCGAGGATGTGCTCGACGATGCGGTGGGCCTTGTCGTCCACGAGTCCAGATCGTCCAGCCGGGGTCGCTCGTTTCTCCTCGCCCGGCAAAACGCTCAGGACTGGGAGAATCCCGAGACTCCGGTCTGAGCGCGTTGTGCCGTTTACCGGAATTCATTAAACTTTTTATTGCTTAGAGGAGTTTTTTTTTTTTTTAGTATACCAGCGTTCAGTTACCAATTGTGTTAACCCATGTACAACTCTGTACCTTCTGCGAAAGGGGGGGGGGTAAACAATATTTTTTTACACACGTTACCGGCTGTGGCTTGCTCGAGCCCCCCCATTAGTTCATTTCTCTTTTCTAGCGTGACTGCCGATGAGTCAACTTGGACTGGACGTAGAAAAATTCAATTGACAACGAGCAAAAATAATACAAAAAACAAATAAAGTGTTTGAAAGATGTAGCGTAAGAATCGAATGGATTTTCTTTCTTTTTTTTTTTTTTTTATGTACAGGACAAGTTTCATGAGCATCATTTCTTAATTGAATGTTAATCGAGTTGTAAGAGTGTTGACTGCAGTATATATACTTGACTCACAGCCATAGCCTATTGTTACTTAATTTTATCAGTAAATTTTTTTTTCTCCATTTACTGTGACGAGAAGGTATATTTTCGAGGTGCAATGAGAAAGTATTATGAACTGTCATTTTTTTTTCATTGCTAATTTCATCTGAAATGTTGCATGGTAGTTCATTTTATAACAACTCTTCAAAGTTTCATAAATTTGGTCGATAGAACCTCGTTGAGTATTATAATAAATGTAATATTTTTTAACATTGCGGAAAGTTCCTATAATGCAGACAACGCGTGTGTTTTCTCCTTATTCGTTGTATTTTGTTTAATTTAAAAAACTTATCGTAAACTTTTGTAATACGTACATACTTTTAATGGTTTTTTGTAAATTTTTAAACGTCACTTTTTTTATTCATTAAACGTGTACTTACCGTCAAATTGTGCGCAGATATTTTTATACGAATTCTGTTGAGTTGAAAAAATAAAATACATATTTTTCTGATCTTTTCCGAAATCATACATGAAACCAGGGCATTTTTTTATCTCTGCTCTTAAAAATTATACTCGCACCTAAATAAACTATTAAATTTAATCAAAGAATTTCACGCCATCAATTAATTTAACGACATGCAAGCGTTTTATAGACAATTTAGTTTAAAAATAGAACAAAACGCGTCATGATTTTATCATCGTAGCAGCAAATAGTAAATACTTGTTTTAATTAACGATCAACGATATAACAGTATTACTTACGGTTAGAGAAACGTCGGTGCCTTAACTTAGTTAATAATAATGGTTGATCAATTTCAAATGCTGTTTCAAATACTTTCTATGGAAATGATATTTTTATTAGATTTTCAATTTGCGTAAAATATTCATCAGTTTTACGCAATAAATCATTTTTACATGTTCATAAGCCAGTGCAACTTGCAAATCATCGTGCGAATAGGATTTTTTTTCTAAATCGAATGGTGCCATTCGTACATACTTAAAAAAAAAGTTTTAGTAAATTGAACTAACATTAATTGAATGTTAAACGTATCGAACAAAATGATTTTTACATTAGTGAAGCTATATTTTTAATAAAAATTAGTATACAAAGTATTCATGCAAGATAGATGAATGAAAATCTGTGAAATAAAGAAAATATGTTAAAAAGTCTTACCTGAATAAACAATCTATTTTCTATCAACAATGCGTTTTATTTCAACGGCATGTGTGTCCTCGATAAATTACACATGTAAGTTTAAACATTTGTGAGCACGGGAATTTTTTGAAATTGTTTTTATTGTAAATTCAATGTTGTTTTTCAAAAGATATAATTTTATTTTAGCGCGGGAGCGATACGAGGTAAGTTTGAGTAAAATATTTACTGCTTCATTAATTGTAATGGGTTAAAAAGGAATGACTAAGTGTAAGTAAAAAAACAAAACTTGTACAGATGAAGCATACCTGCGACATTTTTCTATTTTTCTGTTTTTTTCAGTGCAGCATAATTAATAATACAAAAAATTATGCATAATTATGTTTAAAAAAAACTGGTCAGTGGTTATCGGGGTTTGTTCATTTATTAATTTTTCCAACTAGAAGGTTGATACGCTTTTATTTAAGTATGTTTATTTTTGAAATTTCGATATGTCGTTTGGGATAATAGTATCAAATTACAGCTAAATTTTTGAAGGGTTTAACCACACCGTTTTCAAGATGTATTGACCTGAAAAAACAATATTTTAACATGTAGGCTTATGGAGAAATCACTTAAATTTCACATAAAAAAAAAAACGGCTAAATGAACTTGCTTTTTTTTTTTTTTTAATGAAAGAATATTGTCAAAATAATATTTTGTCAAAGTTTGAGAGAGCCCTACCACAAATTTCTATTAAAAAACAGCAAAAATGTGCTCGCAGCAGACGACTTGGCAACGCTGCTCTTGGAGCGCGCTTTGAAATGTAATGAATAGTAAAAACTCCTTTTGTAATTGAAAATTTAATTATAAAAAATTCAACTGAAGAAATAAGTACACTGTCATCAGTAGACGACGACAACAGCAGTTGACGACAACAACAGTAGACGACGTGCCAGCAGCCGAAAAAATTCAAAACGTTGCCAGACGCTCTCCCTCTCAGCACTGCTGAAATGAAAAAAAAAAAAAAAAAAAAAAAAATGATTAATTAACTTTACAACTTTTTTTTTTACACAAATTTGTGGCGTAATAATGGGTTTTTTGGCTCTTAAGAAATAGGAGGCGTGTATGTAATAATCAGGGTCTTGCCACCGTTTTTATAAGAAACAACTTTCATTTTATTAAAAAATAGAGTTATGCGGAAAAACTGCTCTTAGGGAGAAAATTTAGAGGTGGTTTTCACCCTTTTTTACTTCACTACTGAAACACGCATGTCCAATATTTGAAAGACTTTAAATCTACCCAAAATTTTTGGAAAATCGGTGACGGACACTTGCCTTCCTTTTCTTGTAAGACGTTGTTCGAGGCGTATGCGTTAGCACACACTAGGTTCGGATAGGGTGATTGGGAAAACACAATAAAATTAAACAGCATAAAAATAACAACTTTTAATGTCACTCACAGGCCAAGAAAACACAGTTAATATTCACAAAATTGAGAAGGTCAAATTTATACCGGAGAAAATAAATACTGTCTATATTCTTAAGCAACGAACTATTGAAATATATATAAAGGTGAAGAATGTAGAAAGAAAAGAGTCAATTTGAATAATACGATATGTAAACACGCACTGTCCTTGAGCTGGCAAGAGATTTTGAAAGTTACTCGAAATAAATGTGAAACTGAAAGCACTGATAGAGTATAACTGATTGAACTATTGAATAACTATAAATCACTGTCTGTTAAAAAAATGCACAATTACTGTCTGTGGAAATACACTAGAGTTTCACTGAGTCTTGCTATTGATAATCACTGGTAGTTCGATGAGATTAACTATTTGAGATGGTCTGCAACTTATGCAATAAGCAACTTAAACAAAGCACTAAATGCACTGCACTGCACAACTGAGTTTTGTCCACTGTATAGCGAGAGGTAATCAGAAGATTTACACTAGCATTTAAGGTGATGTATGCACCTTTGAATGCTATAGTTTGGCAACGTAACTTAAGAGAGTCTTTCTTCAACGAGAGCTGAGTATAATCTGGCGCTTACAGTATACAAAGCTTGCCGCGTGAATACGCACACACACACCTGCAGCACGCCAAGTCGACCAAGCGCACACGCACAGAGCGTTGAGCCGCCAGAGACAACAAATGTACACAATGTACACAAAAGCCGGGCCT